TAATCTTTTGGCCTATGAGTATCATTAAGAAAATTTATTTTTAGCACATGGAAAGAAACTTTTGTTGACTTTTTCCTCGTCAACATTTTTTAGCACATTTAACTTAAATATGTAATCATCACCAAGTGTAATGCCAAACAAAAGGTTACCAAACTCTTTATTATTCAATTACTAACATAAAAAAAAATTTTTTAGGCATCGTTACATGAGTCATTACTCCAGTTGTCAAGTGTTGATAAACATGCGGTGATAAAAGCAAAATATAATAAATAATGATTCGTCAGGTTGGTGTCAGGAATATTAAATATTAGTAGGTGTAAAATCAATGATGTATATATGTAGAAGGTTTCGGTTTGAGAAGTATACCAAGCAAATACGAATTAGAGCCAAATTCTCAATCATAAAAATTTATGCTAAAATGATTGTTTCTTCAATAACAAGGTATTTTATTTAGTGCTTAAGTGAAATAACGAATTGAGACTCGCCATGTGTTTTATTATGCATGGGGCAGGGAACCAAATGTGCATGCATAAAGGAAAAAAAGTTGCTGGTGTCACTGAGGTCCAGATTTCCAGATCATTCTGGATATTGGACATTCGGATCTCGGATTTTGCATTACTAACAGCTAAAAATATCGTTTTAACATTATTCAACGAAAGAAAGTCTAATGAACTTAATAATATTCCATTATCAAATGCTACACTAAGTCGAAGAATTCATAAAATAGCAAATTCCATAAAAGAGACACTTATTCAAAAAATAAAACACAGAATTTCACAATCCAGTTAGATGAAAGTACTGATACAACAAATTTTGTTCAATTATTAGTTTATATATGTTTTGAAGAAGATAAACGAATTTCTGAAGAGTATTTATTTTGTGAATCTCTTCATCATAAAGCAACTGCAAATGAAATTTTCAAAGTAAGTGAAAATTATATGTCTGAGAATGATATTCTTTGGAATAAGTGCATTGCTGTATGCAATGACGGAGCTCAGGCTTTTCTGGTGTTATTTCTCAAATAAAGAAAGTTACACCTGAAACTAAATTTATTCACTGCTCGATTCATCATGAAGAAGAATTCCCCAAAACTTGAAAATCGTTTTGAATCAAACTGTGAAAATTGTTAATTTTTTTAAAAGCTTAGCTTTAAATTCAAGAACATTTACGAATCTATGCCAAGAGATGCGCAGTGAATATGAAATCCTTTGGTTGCATTCCGAAGTATGGTGGTTATTTAGAGGCAAAGTTTTAAATCGTCCTTTTGAACTTCGATCAGGAATTCAAATTTTTCTCTGTGGTTCAAAATTTGAATCGCAAAAATATTTATTCAGTGAATTATGGTTGCAGTGTTTAGCCTATTTAGCTGATATTTTAGGAAAATTAAATTAATTAAAATTTGGATTACAAACACAAAAATAAATGCGATTATAAAAAACTCAAGCTAATAATTAAAGAATTGGATAATAATATTTTAACCTTTTTATATCACTTTTAGAAAGTTTTCTAACTGAAAATAATTTGAAAATAAAAGAACTACCATCCATTCAACGTGTATTTTCTTGAGGATTATGTAAAAGAAAATGAATTAAAAATCCATTTTGTTTAAAGGCACCTTAAATTTTATTACATGAAGAAATGGAACAATTGATAAAAATTTCCTGTGATTGAAATCTAACTGAAGATTTAAAAAATAACAATACGTTTGTTAAATTTTGGCTTAACACACACACACTCACTCTCAAAAAAAAAAAAAAAAAAAAAAAAAAAAAAAAGGGCATTTCATATTATTGAAGTTTTACAGCCTTTATCCTTATTTGTGCGAACAAGGATTTTCTTCCATGTTATATTTAAAGAATAAAAATAAATACAGAACAATATTAAAAGTAGATCCTAATTTATGAATAAAACAAAGTGAAATAAGATCAGACATAAAGAAATTGATCTCTCTTAAACAGGCCCAAATTTTGCACTAAATTTTAGAATTAAAGTATTATGACTTAAATTTTGATAATTAAAAAGGCAACCAATTTTTAATAGGTTATGCAAATGGCAAAATATATATATCTTTTAATATTTCTATTGAAAAATTGAAAAATGATGATTGTAAAATGTACTTGTGGTACTAAAGTACAAAGTCCGAAATCCAGACGTCCATTATTCGGAATGATCTAAAATCCGGACCTCAAAACCACCACCAGCACTTTTCTCCTAGGCTTTACGCATGTGCATTTGATTCCCCTACCCCTCCGTGCATAATAAAACATCTGGAGAGTCCCCGATTCTTAATTTCACTTTGACACTAAATAAAATACCTTGTTATTAAAGAAACAAACATTTTAGCATAAATTTGTACAATCAGTAATTTGGCTCGATTGCTGCGCATCTGCTTTTTGGCACACATCTCAAACCCAAATATTCCACATAGATGCATCGTTGATCTGACGCAAATCTGGTGTATCATTATTTATTATACTTTTCTTTTATCATCACATGTTTATCAAAACATGGCAACTTGAGTAATGACTCATGTAGCAATGCCTAAACAATTTTTTTTATGTTAGTAATTGAATAATAAAGGAGTATGGTAACCTTTTATGTTCACATTACATTTGGCGTTAATTACAGATTTAAGTTAAATATGATAAAAAATGTCGACAAGGAAAAATTTACCAAAAATTTCTTTCCATGGCTAAAAATAAATTTTCTTAATGATACTCATAGGCCAAAAGATTGCATTATTGCTATTTGAATTAAGAATAACTGATTTGTTATTCACATACACAGAGAACCAGCGCCAGGGCTCGTATGGCCGCAAGGAGTTGCAGAATTTAGGACCCACAGAGACTACATCAGGCGGTAAGATATCTAGCGCCGGCCCTCAGTAAGGCTTAAGTATATGTGTGAATTTATTCTGAACTCTGATAAGCTTTAAGCATGTGCAAGAAATAAACATAAGTATAATAAATAACTAATACAGTTCAGGCTTAATTGTCTCAGTGCGCAATAGAAGCAAGATAAAATTTAACGGAACAACTTGCCGTTAGTCACTGAGCTCATGATGCATTGACAAATATGTATAGCGAAGGATAGCTAAATTTGATGATGATAGCCGCTAATTTTAAAGGTTTTCGGATATCGCAAAACAAAGCTGAAATTTTCCAATTAACGGATTTTGTAAAGAAATTTGGAATAGCGATAATAAATGAAGATGATATACAAGATGTTTTTCATTGTGATGACAATGCTTCTCAATCATCAATCAATTAATGAATGACGAAATCCATAGTATGGTTCTAGATCCAGAAAATATCACTACCGATAGCAAAGAAAGTGACAGAAGTTGCTGAAAATGAGAAAAATTCGATTGACAAGTTAGTCGGAATTCTCGAAACAGCAGTTACAGGGCTTCAACAATGTAACTAAACAAGAGATTATGTCTGTCTACAGAATTAAAGAGAGAGTATTAGCACAAAAAACAAAGCAACTTAAACAATTTACATTGAAAGAAATGTTTAATAAGGTAAACTAATAAATATAATGCTTTTTTTTTTTTTTTTGGTAAATCTTGATACCCTTTAGATCATAAATGCTTCATTATTTCATAAATCATAATTTCATATCTTTAATTTTATAATTTATACATGACATCTTACTAGATTTAAACTGATGATCTAATATCCGGAAAAATCCCACATCCGGAATCACCAAAGTCCCAATGAGTCCAGATTTCGGACTTTGTACTGTATTAAAGCTTTTCATTTTTTGTTTAGATGGTACGCATTTGTCAAAAGGTTGAGAACCGCTGCTATAGAACATAGCAGACATGGATTATCTTGCTAACAGTATAAATTTCTTCCCAGAAAACATGAACTTGTGACAAATCCTTTGTGATAAAACAATGATTCATGTAACTGGCATTTATTATAGACTTTCAGTTAAATGCATCAATGTAATTAATTCCTTGCTGATACCAACTATTATGAGAAAATAGAACATGACAATTAAATGCATTATAAACAGCAGTTCTCTGATAGCTAATGAACTGCCCATTCCTGTTGCATTTAATTTAATGTTATTTTTATTACATAACTGGAATGGAAGAATTAAACAATAATCCAGTGACTTAATGAAATTCACATTCAATGGTAAATAAAAAGACCAATCAACAATAAAAACTCAGCTCATAAAAATACCATAAAAATGCACAATTAATACAATAAAAAAGGGAGATTAAAAAATACAAAAAATGCAAGATAAAAAATTGTGAATTTTTATGATTTTTTATCTTACATTTTAATAAAGCTACTAACCAAAATTAACTAAATTAATGTGCCCCACATTGAGAATAATTTCAACAGTTTATAAAAAATTATACAGTCAAAAGTCGTTAATCCGGACTCGTCGGGACTTCGGCGATTCCGGATTATAGATCATCAGTTTAAATCTCGTAAGATGGCATGCAGAAATTCTAAAATTAAAAATATGAAACCGTAATTTATAAAATAAAGAACAATTATGATCTAAAGGGTAACAAAATTTACAAAAAAAAGCTTAATATTTATTTGTTTACGTTATTATCCATTTCTATCAATGTTATAATTATAATTAAGTTATATAAATTATTTATTATAATATATTATATTATAATTAAGTTGTTTTCGTTTTATGTGATAATACTTTCTCTTTAATTCTATAAACAGACATAATTTCTTGTTCAGTTACAAAGTTCCTCTGTTCAAGTCCTATAATTGCGGTGTCGAGAATATCGACTAATTTGTCAATCGAAATTGTTTCGTTTTCGGTAACGTCTGTGTCACTTTCTTCACTATCGGAAGCGATATTTTCTGGATCTAGAACCATACTACATATTTCGCTGTCCATTAATTGATTGATGATTGGTGCATTGTCGTCGCAATGAAAAACTTCTCTTATATCATCTTCATTTATTACCGTTTCTCCACATTTCTTTACAAAATTCAATAACTGAAAAATTTCACCTTTAGTTTGCGATGTCCGAAAACCTTCAAATTCGCCGCTATCATCTTCATCCTCCTCACCATGAAATATGGTAGATGGCCATAAATTATGCCAAGCATTTTTTAACGTACTTGAAGACACATCCTCCCCCGATCTTGCGATGCTCCACACTGCAGATTTTATGCTAAAAAATTTCAAAAATTCTTGAATAGTCTTGCCACTGTTCAAGAAATTTAACATCGATTTTAAAAATGCTGTTTTATATTTGCATTTCAGCGCGTGCACTATTCCCATATCCATAGGCTGAATGATAGACGTACAATTTGGAGGGAAGAATAACACAGATACATTATCTTTCACTAAAACTTTAAGTGAAGTATGCGCCGAACAGTTATCAACAATCAGAACTATTTTTGAGTTATCAGGTAAACCAACTGAATTCAAATGTCGCCGAGCCTCGGGTATAAAATGATTTTCAAACCAATCATTCATCAACACTTGTGTCATCCATGCTCTTTTATTTGCGCGATATATAACAGGGAAAATCGTTACTCCTTTAAACGGTCGAGGTCGTGCATGTTTTCCGATTACGAAAAGTTTGCACTTGTGCGTTCCTGCAGCATTTGCGCACGCTAAAATTGTTAGTCTCGCTTTGGAATCTTTGACACCAGTTGGAGCCTTTTCTGTAGAGGTTGCCAAGGTATTTCGTGGTACATATTGCCAGAAAAGACCAGTTTCATCAGCATTGTAAATTTGTTCTGCACATAATTGTTCACTAGTAATGAATACGATGAATTCATCTGCAAATTGTTCAGCAGCTTCAGTATCAGCTGAAGATTTTTCACCAGAAATTTTTAATTGTCTTATACCATGGCGATTTTTAAATTTTGTTAACCAACCTGTCGAATATGTGCACTCTCCGTTTAAGTTCATTTCTTCATGAAATATTTTGGCTTGAGCCATTACCATTGGACCTGTCAATGGCACGCCCTCGCTGCGACGCTGTCTGACCCATTCAATCATCATTCTGTCATGATCGTCACTTTTAGCATAACGAACCCTTTTTCTGTTACTCATTGCAAGTGGGGTGTCGGAATCCACAAAAAAATCAAAAAGTTCCTTTTTCTTTTTGCTTATGTCATATACAGTTGACTTTCCAATGTTATATTCCTTGCATAACTTTGAGACAGGTATGCCTTTATCCAATTTTTCCTTTATCCAATTCCACTTTTTGTTTGATGGACATGGAAACATACTTTCGTTTTGTAGATCCTTTGGAAATTCCAGCATCGGAAATTCTATTTGACATAATCGAAAGTTCAAGTTTACTTTTATAAAATTGCACTAACAGTCTGCAAAAAGTAATAAGCGGGATCCAATTCGAAAATTAAGAAACAACACAATCATTAACATTAACTGAAATAGATAATTAGATCATTTTAGCTTACACCGTCTGTTATACATTAAAAGCGAAGGCGAAAACGTATTCAGCACCTGCGCGCCGCGTATGCGCAGTCGTCCAGGTCTTACGCGCACGCGTAAAACGCCTGTGCGCATGTGCCAACGCGGCGCATGCGCAGAAAGTTTTTAGCTTTGAGGTCCGGATTATGGGTGTCCGAATTAACGACTCTTGACTGTACTAGATAATTTAAAGTGGATGAAAATGGAACCTTCATTAAGCTGCTTAAACTTATGGACCTTCAAGATTTATGAAAAAGCAGTATTCCCCCAAGTAATTTACAAAAGATTTAATAATAATAATTCAAACAAATTTTTATTACGTTCAATAGATCTTCTTGTGTGCATGCACATGTATATGTGTATATTTTTGTATACTAATTTTAACATTTAACATGCTGCCGTCACTCAGTTAATTAAACTAGCTAAATATGCACTAATACGTTCTTTTAATAAGACATTATTTTATTTACAGTTTAAACTTTCTGTTGTTTATAAACTAAACAATAGAAAGAATAAAAAAAGTGTTGGTAAATAATCAAAACTTGAATAAACTTTGTATCTACTGAAACTAAATACTTAACAGCTAAATAAAAGGCCGACTGCAACCCCCTTAAACTACAAAATTTCCAACTGTCCCTCTCGGTTGAGAACTCCTGTTATAGAATCTATGTGGCCATAAGTGCATTTAAAATACTGGTGAGCCAAAAATCCTCTCTAGTGCTTTGGTGGTAGAGTAAAAGGGGTGGGACACCACTGGATCAATTTCCTGAGGTGTTCTCTATCAAAACTGTGATGAATGTGCAGAATTAGTGTGGTGAAATTATACCTGTATGACAAATGGTAAAATTATGATGTTCCACCCACTTCTATATATAACTACAGCTTCGGCATTTTGAGATGTATAAGATCAAGCCTCTGTAGGCTCTGGTGTACTTTGGGAGTGAGTGAGTGAGTGAGTGAGTGATTATGGCGCAAAAACCAGAGATGATTATGACGCGCCAAACAAAAGATGAGATGATTACAATTGATAACATTAAAATTCAATAAATAAAAAACAAGTAGATAAATGTACCAAATCCAGAGGATGAAGTCATATAAACACAAGTTAAAAGCACATATTAAAATTCAAGACACAATCTTCAAAACAAATTACATTTGGTAATAAAAGCCAATCTCTTTTAAATAATAAAATAAATTACAATTGACCTCTCTTCCGATTAAACGGTCGAGAGGTAAGTCACAGCTATTAAAATATTTCTGGCGAAGACTATTAAAACATGGACACTCAATTAAAATATGACGAACAGATAAACAAACATTACAATTAAAACACACAGGCTCATTTTCAGCTTTAAGAAGATAGTTATGTGTCAATCTAGTGTGACCAATTCTGAGGCGAGTCAAAAGAACGTCCTCCTTACGATTTCCAACAAATCCCAATGCTCAATTCTGGCTTGACGTTTCTCAACTTGTTGTGATGCTGAACATCCCAAATTTGCTGCCATTTTTTTCGGACCTTTCCCTTGATGACACAGCAGATATCTCTAAAAGGGATAAGGCGACTGGACAGTTCAACAGCAGATTTGGCTGCGATATCTGCAAGCTCATTTCCCTTTATTCCAGCATGTCCAGGAACCCAGCAGTACAGGACTTCATATCCTCGAATCGTTAAATTTATATGAATTTTGAGAACATCCACTACCACAGGATTCTGAGTGTTGGGAAAAGCTTCCAAGGATTTAAGAGCACTATACGAGTCTGTGTAAACTATGAACTTTTTGTGGCAGAGCTTTGAGATGTACAAAAGACCATAATATATTGCAGTTAGTTCAGATGTTAGGACTGAGAAAGCATGGTGCAGGCATCTGCCCTCTATGTAATTTTCAAATACAAAAGCCATCCCGACATGATCATTTGACTTTGATCCATCTGTGTATATCGGATAATAACTGCTATATTTGTGCCTGTGCTCAGCAAAGAGTTGTCTGTAAACGATCTCGTTAGTGCTTGCCTTCACGTGATGTTTGAAAACATCAAGAAGCTGAATCCGTGAATTTTCCCAAGGTGGGATTTCAAAGTTCTGTACTGCTTGGGGGCGCATATCAGAGAGGGAATGTTCCTCAATGATAGGGCGAACTCTTAAAGGAAAGGTAGGAACACAGGATGGACGTGTTTCAAATAAAGTGTTACACTCATTATCAAGTAAGCACAGCTTATTGGGATGTTCAGGTTGGGATAGAATATTAAAATATTGCAAAAGGGACAATTGCTCACGCCTCAGATAAAGTGATGGTTCGTTAGAGTCAACATATAGGCTCTGTACAGGAGAAGTCCTGAAAGCTCCTGAACAAATCCGCAGACCTTGATGGTGAACAGGATCCAGTTTTAACAAACAGATGACCGAGCGGATCCATAAACCAACTGAGCCATAGTCCAGTCTAGAGCGGATAAGCGCTCTGTAAATGCGAAGCATGGAGCAACGCTCTGCACCCCAGGAGGTGTTCGCCAACACTTTTAAAATATTTAGTGTTTTTAGACACTTCTTTCTCAGGTTTAAAACATGAGAAAGGAAAGTCAATTTCTGGTCGAACGTCACTCCTAAAAATTTTACTTCGGGCGCAACTGGAATAATTGTACCATTCAGATATAACTCAGGTTCAGGATGGAGACCTCGCTTCCTACAAAAGTGCACGCACACAGTTTTCTGTTTCGAAAAAGTAAATCCCTGTTTGTCTGACCATTCTTGGATCTTATTCAGAGCCATCTGCAATTGCCTCTCTATGTATCTCATGTCTGCCCCTCGACAGCTAATCTGTAAATCATCAACATATAGAGATCCCAAGATGGTGGGAGGAAGTTCTTTTAATACAGAGTTTATTTTTAAACTGAACAGGCGTTACACTAAGCACACAGCCTTGAGGCACACCCTCTTCCTGTTCAAAAACATCCGAACAAAACAGAGCCAATTCCTTACTTGAAAAGTTCTAGTGTTCAAGAAATTCTGAATGAAAATTGGTAGGTTGCCGCGCAAGCCACTCTCGTGAAGATCCCGGAGTATACCGTATCTCCATGCCTTATCATAAGCTTTCTCAATGTCGAAGAATATTCGAGACAAGGTGGCTTCTTCTTACAAATGCTTTTCGAATAGATGTCTCTAAGAGGAGCATGTTATCTACAGTTGTTCTTCCCTTTCGAAAACCGCTTTGATAAGGCGATATAATATTATTCTTTTCCAAGAAGTAGACTAGGCGGCTGTTTACCATCTTTTCAAACAGTTTGCATAGGCAACTGGTAAGGGCAATTGGCCGATAGTTGGAGGGATTCCTTGGATCTTTCCCTGGCTTAGCAATAGGAATGACAACAGCTCTCCTCCATGCACTGGGAAAAATACGCTCCTTCCACACTCTATTGTAAAGAGTGAGAAGGGCATTCAGTGACTTATAGGACAGATGCTTTAGCATTTCGTAATTTCACGCCATCAAAGACCCGGAGAAGACCTATGTGTCTGCAACAAAGCTCTCTTTAATTCCAGCATAGTAAAATCTCTATTGTAAGGCTCAGATTTGGAAGAGTTGAATGCGATGGGATTTATTTCAGAGTGCTGCTTGATAGACAGAAATGCAGGTGAATAGTTTCTCTGGAAGAAACGGCAGCAAATGTCTCACCAATAGTATTCGCAATTTCTTCTATGGAGCTAATCACTCGGCCATCTTTTTCCAAAAAGGAAAGTGAGTGGTCTTTATATTCCGCATGCTTTTCGAACTCTTTCCCAAACCCGCTTACTAGGCGTAGAGGATGTTATTGACGACACATATGAAATCCAGGAATCCCTCTGGCTCTGCCTTCTTACTTTTCGTGCATTTGCTTTGGCTCTTTTAAATGCTATGAGGTTTCGCAGAGTAGGATATCTACGAAAAATACCCCATGCTTTTTTCTGTTTTTTCAGTGCTTCATGACAGTCGCGATTCCACCATGGTTTCGTATATTTAAGCATTTTTCCTGATGTTCTAGGAATGGACAGCATAGCTGCCTGAATAATAGTATTAGTAACAGCTTCAACAGCGTCATCGATATGCACATCT